AGCCCGCGCCCGGGCGAGGGTACACGAAGTCCAATATTATTCATCTTCATAAGGGTCTTCTGGGCTGCGCTTCGTCTGATCCCTCACCTAGGACCTGTTTGCCTTGGGTGACCCTACCAGGGGCTTGAAGCCCCGGACAACATAGCTCCTAGGATCACTGGGACACTCAAACCCCTCCACCACGATAAGGTGGCAGCCCAGGGAGAGGCAGATGGTTATCAATTTTTATAAATTCATATGATGTGATTTTCTGGAATTTTCTTTGGGATTCTGTCTCTCACTGTTAGAATGTACATACGATTAAAGTTATAGATCGTTGCATTCTTTGTAAGTGGGCAAACCTGCAAAATCAGCAAGGGGTCAAAAACTTATTTCCCCCACTGTATATGCTCTTATCCTGTATATATCTAGCTCTTAGTTATAGAAAACATATTTATTAAGTAGGAATAAGGTCTTAGCTCTCTTACACTGGTAGCCAAGTAATCGACATTTTCCTTGTGTTTTTTGTACAATGACAATAAAGGAAGTCTAAGTCTAAGTCTAAGTCTCTATGAGTTATACCTCTGCGGTTAGAGGGACCTCCAGGGCGGCTGCATATGTGAAGGGACTGGGAGCAGGACCAGACGGGAGCGTCCATGGCTCCGGGACAGAATACGCTGTCTCCAAAGTCACTTTCAGAAGGTTGGAGGCAGAAAGCTCGGCCTCCGATAACAGCGAACCCGACACACTCACACAGACGTCTACGGTCGGCTGGGAAAGGGGACAAATCAGGAGACAAAACCATATTTCAGATCAGAATCAGAATCAGAAATACTTTAATAATCCCAGAGGGAAATTATTTTTGTTACTGGCTCCATAAATAAAACAGCGGCATATACATATATACATGTCTGTACATATATACACATATATATATATACAAAATTCCTCATATGATATAGATAGATATAGATAGATTCCATGCTTGAAAAACAGCTTACTTAAAACGGCTAATTAAATTAAATTGGAAGCTTATCATAGAAGTTAAAGGCTGTGAAATATTGATGTAGATAGATAGATAGATAGATAGATAGATAGATAGATAGATAGATAGATAGATAGATAGATAGATAGATAGATAGATAGATAGATAGATAGATAGATAGATATTTTATTGATCCCCAGGGGGAAATTCAAATTAGACACTGTGTACATGAATTGGCCTGATTAAAAACTTATTCTTCACTTTTTTAAAAATATTTTCAACCCTTTGATATGAAGCTACAGCAATGATTTCTTGTCAACATTAATTAGCTGAATAATAGAATTATGGTTTGATAATTCAGATGTAATTGATTAACCAACCTTACAGAGTGAAGCCGGACGGCAATCTTTGGCAGAACTGATCACTGGATTGACTTCTACTGTGGATGTGAAACTGTGCTGACCTAAAAACAAACAGGAATTCATTCCCATAGTACGAGTCCAGCTTGGCTATGAAAGCTGTTTAAAATCAGTTTCTGCTCTTTTTTCCACCAAACCGAGCAACTGAGTTACATCCATCTGTCTTCCTAAAACAGAAAAAAATTATAATTGCAAAAATGTACCTTGCAAAAGTGGCAGCAGATCAACCACAGCTTGGCCCAGCACTGCCATTCTAGCATCTGCCTTTTTCTCATCAGGCAGGAACTCCATCAAAGTGACTAAAATATACAGTAAAAAAAACACAAAAAAAAACAGTTATTCACATTGATAGCGATCAGGAAAATAAAACATA